CAAACTGGTTCCCAAACGTGGACATTTACAAAAGCAAACATGGACAAAATCATAAAAAGGCAAAGAGCAATGGAAAAACAAATGTTGCACATAAGACTAATGGATAAAAGAAGAAATTAGTGGATAAGAGAGAAAAAAAAGTGAGGGATGTTAGATAAGAAGTTGCAAAATTTAAATTGAGATTTGCGGGACACAATATAAGACAAAAAGAAGACCGATGGAACAAAATTCTTATAAGTCGGAGACCGTGAGAATATAAACGAAGCAGAGGGCTCCAAATGAGATGGGTCGATGATATCAAGAAACACGTGGGCTCTAGGTGGATGACTGTAGCGACAGACAGAGAAGAATGGAAAAGGATTGGGGAGGCCTATGTCTAAAGATGGACCTAAGAATGCTAATTAGATGATAGATAGCTCTATATTGTTGTTTATATACGTTTGCTAGTACAAAGGCTATTTCTTGCATGGTTAAATGAATATGGTTATCACGTTCTAGATATTCGATGATGTTAAATGAGTTTTTCTCACATTTTTTTTAATTATTTGCCAAACCTAAGAAGTAGGGATAGATGAATTTAAAGATAAATCACATTTTTCTCAGTCTTTTTATTTTTTTTTTGACGTGTATCCAAATGTAGAAGTTAGAAGCCCAAAAGGTTCGTAAATGGCAGCGGACTTAATAGACAACAATCATTCAATTACAGTCTCTACATTACACAAAATGCCTAGAGGAATAAGCGATGCCGTGGGATCGTCGGAATCAGACATAATACTGCTTCTCTTTGGCGACACACACTTATTACAAACGTTCTCAAAATTTAAGAAGTAGCTTAAAAATAATTAATTTTTCTTATGCTCATGTTCAGGTTATGTTCATATTTTTTTCTGACTATGCAAATTATGTATTTTTTCAAGATTTTTTGGCTTCTGTTTTATCCATATTTATGTTTTTAAATTCTTATCCTTTTTTCTTTATTGTTAAAAGTGCTGTTTGATGTCGTTGAGATTAATGAAGATTAATATTCTCTTTTTATGCTTATATCTTTAAACATATTAAAAAATAAAACACCATGAATTAAAGAGAAACGAATCAGAAATGAAATGAATAGTTAAGTTAGACGAATAAAAAAAGAAACACTGGCAGAGTTTCTTAAAAGAGATGGAACACAAAAAGAAGATCAGATGGAGAATGATCAAAGGGCAAAGAACAAAGATGAACGAACTAATAAAAACGAAACACATTTAGAAGAAAACGTGGGTAGACTACTATTTCTATTTGCTAAAGGTGACGATAATGAACCACCAACACCAGACGTGACGACAAACAAAGAAATAAATATTGAGGAGGAAGAGGTAAATGAAGCATTAGGAAAATTAAAAAATAGAAAATCACTAGGAGAGGACAGAATACTAAACAAACTCCTAAAGCACGGATGACCAGATCTAACCAAATAACTATTAAAACTTCACTAGTTTTAAAAATAATAGAACAAATCAAAATTCCTCAAGAATGAAGATTAAACATCTTAATACCTCTCTTCAAAAAGGGAGACAAATCGGACGCGGAAAATTACAGTGGAATTAATTTATTAAACACAACACTAAAATTAACAACCAAAGTAATAACAAATAATTTTACTGAAATAAAAGCACTGGCAGAAGAACAACAAGGTTTTTGGTCGGGAAGATCATGCACTGACGCTATATTTATAATGAGGCAAGTGCAAGAAAAATCATTAGAATACAACAAACCGGCATATGTATATTCCGTGTACCTTACAAAAACATTTGATTAGGTCAAATTAAAAGACATTATCCACTTACTGTACGCAAGAGAGGTACCTCTAGGAATAATCAGTGGTGTACGACAGGGAGATTTATTGAGTCCTTTATTGTTCAACCTGATTATTAATGAAATAATAAAAAAAGTAAGAACTAAAAAAAGGATACCAAATAGATGAGAAACAACTTAAAATAATTTGCTATGCAGACGATGCAATACTACTTTCTCAAAGTGAAGATGATTTACAACGTACGCTGCACCAATTTAATATAACCGTCAGAAAATTTAACATGTTAATTTCCCCAAATAAGACAAAATGTATGGTTACAACAGCAAATTTACTAAGATGTAAATTGGAGCTGGAAGGTCAGATAATAGAACAAGTGATGGAGTTTAAATATCTAGGCATCACATTATCTAGCTACGGAAATCTCGAAACTGAAGTGAAAGATTAGGTAAGAGAGGGCAAAAATAATGTTAGAAACAACAGAGATAAAACATTTAGAAAAATTGATGATAAGACACTATGAGGCAGAGCTAGAAGTACAGCTATACGACGTAGATGCATGGTGGAAAACAACAAGAACTGGGTAAGAAATAGAAGAGTAGAATAAAAAGATCATATAAGCCGAATGACAACAAATAGAGTAGTAAAGAAGGCAAGAGACGGTTCCATAATAGGAAGACGATCAGTAGGAAGACCACGAAAACGATGGCACGACAACTTACTGGAGGCACACTGAAAATCAGACAGAGGTCATGTCTATATAAAAAGAAGAATACTAAGTAGAAGAAGAAGATCTTAAAAATAATGTTGTTTCTTGTATATTTGTACTATGGGTAGCTGCTACTTGTTTTATTGCTTTTATTGCTTAAAAGCTTTAAATCAAGAGATTTAATGAAGAAAGTTACTGATCTTGTTACAACTTAACTAAATTACAGCTTAACTATGTTCAATCACAAATTAACCCCTTAATTTGTAATCTCACATTATTCTTAACTTCTTAATCTTTTATAGTTTTGCCGTGTATAAGTGAATTTGTAATATTTTATTAATTAGTTCATTTACCTCGTTTCTTCATTTCAGTTACTTCATACAATTCAGTTACTTCATTTATTTAGATTCGAATCGACATAGCAATGAATAAAGTGACTAGTCCTGTGGTTCAATGAGGAATCCACTGATGGTTAGCAATGGTTTTCTACGTGTGTTCTGATATATCTTGGTGAAACTGCTCTGCCGCAAGTACAATATTTGGCAACTCATCTCCCTGAATATCTATATTATGTTTGGCAATGTTGTTCTGCCTTATGATTGGCCTCTGCATAAGCTCTTCAATGGGACTGACGGGAGTCTTTAAGTAGCTTCCAATTGCTATTTTCAATCCGTTACTGGATGTGAGTAACGTTGTGTTTCGAGTCTGAGCAACGCATTTTGGTGACAGTTTTATAAAACTCGTTTGATCGATTATGTGTTTAGATCGAGAACCATCGCACATTATAGCTAAATTTATAGCGTATGGTGGAATGACCAAACACAGGTACAGTGTGCTCATTTTCAACCAACTGGCTTCCTTTATTGTGTATTCTATTATATTGTAAGTGACATATGAAGATAAAGGAAGATAGTGTATAGAATTCAACAAAGAAGAGTTGGCATGTTCACCAATGGAAATCATTAATATGGATACTCAGCCAAACTGTATCTTAAACGAATTATATGATAGAACTACCAATACCACTGGCAATATAATAGAATACACGATAAAGGAAGCCAGTTGGTTGAAAATGAGCACACCGTACCTGTGGTTAGTCATTCCACCATACGCTATAAATTTAGCCATAATGTGCGATGGTTCTCGATCTGAAAACATAATCTATCAAACGAGTTTTATAAAACTGTCACCAACATGCCTTGCCCAGACTCAAAACATAACGTTACTCACATCCAGTAACGGATTGGAAACAGCAATTGAAAGTTACATCAAGACTTCCGTCAGTCCCATTAAAGAGCTTATGCAGAGGCCAATCATAAGGCAGAACAACATTCCCAAACATAATATAGATATTCGGAGAGATGAGTTACCAAATATTGTACTTAAGGCAGAGCAGTTTGACTAAGATATATCAGAACACACGTGAAAAATCATTGCTAACCATCAGTGGATTCCTCATTTAACCACGGGACTAGTCACTTTATTCATTGTTATGTTGATTGTCATTACATGGAAGGTAGTCAGATATTTTCGAAACTCCAAGAAAGCCAGAAAACAAAGGCATCAAGGTGCTTGCATCCAACCTCATCCAGTGCCTCGAAGACATACTTCATCACAACCGAATTTAAGTAGTACTTTAAAGAAAGCCCCTCCTAGATCAGTTTCACTTAATGAGCTTAGATTTGAATTAGATAGTTTAGCTGAAACATAATTTCTAAATATTCAAAAAATTAAAGGTAGCACTGCTCAGGTGAGATAATAATTCAAAAACCAAGTGAATTAGGGTTATGATTATTGTTATTATTATTTTATATTTTATATGTGTTTAAATATTTTCTAACCTCCTCTGTGGCTCAGTGGTACGAGCGCCTACCTTTAAACCTAAAGGTCGTGAGTTCGAATCTCATATGGATGGAGAAATTTTCGTTTATTAAAAATTAATAAATGAAAATAATTTCTATCCTTGTGCGATCGGTACTCACCGGAGGGACCGCAGACGTTCGGATACAATTAGCGTCTCTTAGCAAAGACAATGCGTCGACATTGCTAAGTATCAAGACAATTACTCTACACCACACACTACACTAGGTACCTGACTGTACCATGCCAATGATCTTAGTAAAAAAAAAAACTACGTTTGAATTTTTCCAACTAAAATACGTCTGTTGATGTATGCAGTTTATATTCTCCCGTAATCCTTTAATCCCGTAATCATTTTTGTGTTTGATCTTCTTGTTTTTATAGCTTCTGTTTGCAAGAGTCACTTTTTTCCTTGTGTGAGATAGAAGATGTTTTATTTCCTCAAATATAATGTTGTTTGTCATTTTTGCTTTAAGCAGCTTTTAGAAATATACTGCACTAGGTTTCCATAGAGAAGCAATCTTCGTTCTCGAACACGATAAATAATATTAAAGAATAAAACCGATATTATATTATACAAACACGATTATAAAGTTTTCTGAATTAAATAAGTGTACTCAAATTTTTCTTAATTTTTAGAAACATGTTCTGCAACAAATCCAAAAAATAATTATTATTTAGGAGACACACAGGTACAGTATAAGTTTTTTATTGTTATAAATATTTATTCTTGAATTTTTTTAAACTTCCAGTTAAGTGATTTTTAAAACCTCCCAGTATATATTTTTGATTACCTTGGTAGCTGATAGACAAGGCAAAAAGATCGGGTTCGTTCGGAAAAATATTTCAATGAGACTTTTTCTTTCTCGTTCATGAGTTCGTCCAGGAGAAAAGTTGTTCAAATCAAAAAAAAAAAAAAAATTCAACAATTTGTATCACTCAATTTTTTCGGTGAACAAAATAGGTCTCTTGTAATTTTTCAGTAACTTGATTGTTTTCGAGTTACAAACAATTTCATATTAAAGAAAACGCAAAATTACGATTTTTAAGACTAAAAAATAAACTAAAAAAATTTTTTGTTTATTTTATAACAGGGGTGTCAACTTGCAATGCCTTAAGAGCCAAAACTAAAACCTATAATGTTGTCGCGGGCGATAATAATCATTTTGTTACAAGTAATAACAAAAATATAGTGAGGTATAAAAATAATTAAAACAAAAAAGAGTATTATTTCTGTTATTGCTCACCAACTACATTTTTTTTATAAACGAAAAATTTATTGATAACACTTTTCAATAATTAAGACAAACATTGCAAAAGCAACGAAAAAGACGTATCCAATTAGTGTGAGGACTGTGGTCGATCGGTTTCATCCACCAATGAAGAATTGTCCACCTCCAGTTCAGTTGTAGACACTCTCATAAGATGACGTAAGGAAGAATCGGTAAGGTTGCTTCTGTTTTTATTTTTTATGTATTTCATGGAGGAAAAGGCACTTTTACATGTACATGTGCTTCCGAACATTGGTGTCATTTTCAGTCCAAAATCTCGCAGGTTAGGGAATTTTTCCTTTGACAGTAATTTGAAAAATTCAGGTCCCTATTCATGTCTGGTGATTAGGAACATGTCTTGAAGATCACATCACACAAGCTGTAAGTTGGGTGGTTGATCATCAATGGTTGCTCCAAGAGAGGTATTATAGTGTAGTACACTACTTTTGAGATTTTCAATTCTTCAAATCTTGTATTGATTTCATCAATAACTTGTTCAATTTGTGAAATGCAGGATGAAAACTCAATATTTTCTTCACCGTTGAATTCTTCTGCTATTTGCAGACAGCTAGGGAAGTGTGTCAGGTTGTTCTTTTCCAAAGCACGTTTAAACACGTTCAACTTATTCCGGAATCCATTTATCATTGCGATCAAATCTGAAACCGTCTGGGTTCTTCCTTGAAGATTCAAGTTTAACATGTTAAGATTATTAGTCAGATCTGTTATAAAAGCTAACTGTCTTAAGAATTCTGGATCCTTAAACTTCTCTTCCAGTTCAGCTGTGGCAGAAGAAACGTATCTGTTGAGGAATGCAGGGATTTCCTTTCTTATGGCAAAAAATCGTTTCATGTACTTTCCTGCACTCAGCCATTGTTGTACATTAGTAAGTCTCCATACTCAGCCTTTGTTTCCACTAAAAACTGCTTAAGTTGCCTGTGTAAAAGAGATCGATGTCTACCTCTAATCATATTTATAATCTTAATCACGGTTTGGAAAACTTGATCTATCTTGACTGATTTTCCACATAAAGCTCCCTGATGTATAATACAATGAATTGTTGGGCAAGTGACACCATTATATAGAAGCAGACCCACTAATCCAAATTTTTTACCTGTCATTGATGGGGCCCCATCTGTTGCTATAGCTGAACATTTATCAAAGCCTCCAATTCCGTCAACTGTTTTCTTCACAGACCCATAAATGTCTTTTTGGTTTGTTGTTCCATAAAGAGGACAACTATCAAATAACTCCTCTTTACTGGTAAAATTATCAATGGTAGTGCGCACAAATATTAACAGCTGACTAACATCGGTTTGATTAGTGCTTTCATCCAAACAAAGTGAGAAATATGAACTTTTCCTAACCAGTCTAAGCATAGATTTTTCTACTTGCTCATTCATAGTAACAATCCTTCTTTGTATGGTTTGATGTGAAAATGGCACTGATTCAAATTTCTTCGCCATTTTAGAATCACCGAAAGCGTTGGCCATTTCAACAGCACATTTGTTTATCAAATAATTTATTGAAAATCCTTTGTAAAAGGTATATATTAAGAACCCAAACGGGCTAAGTTAAACAGACAAAACGTTTTCGGAATCCATATTCCATCATCAGTGTCTAAGAGTAGATGAATGTAGCCACTAAATATATGGGTAAAAACCCGTTAACAAATAATTGATTACATTTAGTTTACAAAATTTCTTATAATGACTTAAGATGTTAAAGTTACTGTTGGATTAGGTAACATGGCCACATATGACTCCACGTTGAAGTTGCTAGTCTTGAGACGGTGTGTCTACGAAGATTGTATGGGAGTGACTTTAATATCAAGCATGCACCATCATGATGATATTGACAAAAATAATGATGATAAATCTTAACTAGTAATAGTCACTACTTATAATAGAACGAAAAGGTTGTCGACGTTGTAGATAAGTTGGTGTAGATGGTGAAGATTGCTGCTAGCAATCTTCCGAGAAAGCTAAAGCTAAGACCGGAAAATTAAGAAATGCCATTACCTGCTGAAAGAACGAATGCGGCTGGAGAAAGAATAGAAAAACTCGTTTTTCCTGCTACAAATGCAATGCATTTATGTATTTAGAGCATATTACAGGTGTACGCCAGATCTGTAGAGATCTACCATTAAAGTATATCTTTAGTTTTTTGTCGCTATTTGTTGCATTGCGTTTTTCTATTTTTATTTTATAAGAAAAAATTAATACACGTGCCATTTTTCTCAATAAAAAAAAAAGAAAAATCCTCTATTTTTATTTTTAGATCCACCTGGTCTATGACACCACAGAAACTAAACTTTTAAGATACTATAGCGCCACTACCCGGAAGTTATTGTTTCTTAATGTGTTCTTTCTTTCTTTTAACTATTTATTGTGTCTCCATTTTTATCATTAATGCTGTATATTAATTGTTTCTTTTAGGTTCTTATCGTCTTCAGCGTTCTGTAGAATCGCTATACTTGCTTGGATACCTTTTACTATTTTTCTTTCATATTTACAGTTATTGTTATTGTCATTTGTTTAATCTTTCAAATATTATTTCCATGTTTTTTCTTTACCTTAACTTATCTTCCATCACGCTGTTTATTTTTTGAGGAGTCCTTTTACTTGCCACATACTTTTTCAGCTGCAACTAATACTAGATTTTTATAGTTCTTCCATGGTTTGCTTATATAACTATTATCTTCTATTTCGTATTATTTTTCCAAGTTTTTTGTCTTTGCCCTTTTATTTTCTCTCATATCTTGGTTATTTTCATGTAATGATGCTGCTTATCTTGGGTCTATTATATATTTTTGCATTTTTCACTTCTCTTTCAAAAGTCGTTGTAATATAATATAGTCAATTATAAATTTATCGTTTCGAATTTTGACTTTTCTGGTGGATATTTGGATTTATTTGTATTTAAAAAATGTATCAGTAATTGTCATATTGTTTCGTCTTCTTTTTAGGGTGCCTGTCCGTTCCGAACGTTAACGATCATTCTGGCTATGATGATTTTGTTGGTTGCTATACGAAATAGCTGTGTAGAGGTCTTTCTATACCATGCTCTCAGATGCATACAGATTTGCTCCAGTTATGTTTTGATTGCTGATTATCATTAGCTTGGTTTTGCTGGTGTTTATATTCAGTCCATAGGTTCTATTTGTTTCTGTTATTTTGTTCATTAAGTTTTGCAGCCCTTCTATGGTATTGGAAAACACTATTGGATCATCTGCATACCGCAGGTTATTAAGCTTGACTCCATTTATTGAGATGCCTTCATCAATATCTTTTAGGGCCTCTTCAAAAATGTGCTCCGAGTACAGATTGAATATCAGTGGTGAAATTATGCACCCCTGTCTCACTCCTCTTAAGATTTTGACCTGTTCTGTATATTCTCCATCTATTCGGAGTACCACTGATTGATTCCAATATCATATTGTTTATTGCGCAAAATTCTAGCAATATCCTTTGCTTCTAAAAATGGTTCTGCATGACTTATATAGATTTGCTCTCTTATTCCGACCCTCTCGTTGAAATTCCCTACAATATATATTTCTCCTTTTGCGGCTTCTGTGGTAAACGTAAACTCTCCCCAAAAATGTATCTGTGCTTTGTGTGGTATCCGTGTTTGATCCAGATACTACTATAACAGTTTTATTACCACTACTCCCTTGATAACTGATTTCTATTTTCTGAATTAAAGCGTAACAAAAAATTATTATATCACAAATTTGGGATAAAAACATTGAGTAGATTATAAACGTTTACGAATCATTTTGAAATTTGTATCACATGTAAAAGTCTTCTTTTGATGCAAAACTGAAAGTTGTAAAATGATTTTGGCAAATGCATCTAATTGTAAAATAAGTATAACAGTAGACCACAGCCACTGTTTTGATAAATTCCCATGTCTCTGGTGTTATAATAAAAGATCTTTGTATTAATTTGAATAAAAATGTTTTAATGCCCTAGATATATAAATACCTATTCTTGATACAACCCAAATAAAATCTATGTAATTATACTTACAATTTTTATTTTTATGATATTTTTTAATTAGTTGGTGTTACCATTTTTAGGTAACTTGGGCTAACGCTATTGTATCATGCCAAGCCGTTGGAATGTCATTAGTAAGCATCCAGAATCAACCTAAGCAAGATGAAGTCACTAAGTTTTTGCAATCTACAAGTAAGAAACATAATAAGAATATCTTCCTATAGAAAAAGTAATGAACCGAATTACAATACTTAACACAAAGACGACTTTTTTTTTAATTGCAAAAATATGAAGGAAATGGACTAATGCGTTTATGCATGTATAATGTCGTCCCAAGAACAGAACCCAGCAATATTGATAATATCATTTTAAAGTCGTCTGCTTAAAAATGTATAGTATATGTCTGAATTGTCAATATAAATAAATCAGATAAAATTAAATTTTAGACAAATTTTTTAACAAGTAACAAAAAACAAAATTTGTTTATTTTATTATTGTGGGTTATGCCTATGCAAAAAGTTGTGCAAAATCTAGAATAGGAAAAATATGCAAAACAAAGGCATTTTGCATATAATCCAAGCTTTAGTTATTACTGAAAACCAGATTATTTTTTTGAGAACAAACGCTGTACTCGATTAAACTCTTTATCGTAATCAACCAGATATGCGTATACGACTAAGTTGACGTCGCTGCATTTCTAAAATAAGACTAGTACTGAGAACAAAGCCTCTCTAGTACCAACAGTATTTGTGAACTAAAACTGGTTAAAGAAAATTTAACTTTCAGACAGCTTGTAGATTTTCTTATAAATTGTCTTTAGGAACAATTTTAGACATTGACTCATGAGGCTCACGGTAATCTTTGCATTTTTTGTCTCCGCAATAAACGCATATTTCAGCCATTCTGTGGTATTTCTCCAGAGTTGTATATGTTGTTGAATATCTTTGTGATTATTGCTATTAATTTGTTGTCCATTAGTTTAAATAGTTCTGCTTGTATATTATCAGGGCCTACCACTTTGTCATCCTTTAAACGTGTTATTGCGGAATAAACTTCCTGCTGCAATATTCTTGGTCCATCATTTGGTCTATCATCAGAAGAAGAGGTTTCTAGCCCAAAAGTGTTTCATGGTCTTCAAATACTTTTTCTAGATATTTGTTTCACGTTATTATTTTACTCTGTTTGTCCAAGATGATGTTTCCGTCAGAATTAGTTATATTTTCTTTCTGCCTCTGTATTGCTACCACTGTGAGTTTGTTAACTTTTCTATGTACATTATGACATTGTATCGTACTTTTAGTACCAAGTCTCAATTTCGTGGCATTTTTCCATTTCTTTTTTTTTCTTTCGCTTCTCTGACTTTCATTCTTATTAATATGTTTATGGTTTTATATTTGTCTGCACTATTTTTGTAATTTTTGTAATATGTGCACTATTGCACTATTTTTGTAATATGTTAGTGGACGTGGTAAACGTGGCTTGAACTCTCACCCTCATATCAAGGTCTTTCAGCATATGTAGGTCGTATGATTGTGCTTTCTTCTTCTGCACTGTTTGGAGTTTGATTCGAAATACTCCCACCAGTGGAACGTGGTCTGTCTCCAAGTCTGCCCCAGTATAAGTCTTGACAGATGTAAAGCTGCTCGGAATCTTTTTTTACTAAAATGTAGTCTATTTGATTCCCAATAATTCTCCCGGGTCTGTCTTGAGGGATTTCCACATGTTCCACGTGTTGTAGGGTTCTTACTGCATAAAGATAATGCAAAATTACTTCAATCTTCAATTCTTTACATAAAAGACTTCATTGGTAATTAAGGTGGCTCTTGTGGCCGTCAACCAATTAAATTACTGATAGTTTAATATTGTTTTGTAATATTTTTTGGATGAACTTTGTTCGCCAGAATACACATCGTTATGGCTTTTAATTGGAAATGCTTTTCCAGTCGATTATGTGAGGTCGTTAAGGCCATGCGGCCTCACCGCATTATGACCTATAGAGATCTTTTGTGCATACCTCAATCTAGTTAAACTTTAGAATGCTAATACTTCTGATGAAGTTGATTAGCTTCCTAGGTGACTTGTTTCCTATGTCAGAGGATGCCAGACAGACCTCTCCTAGGAATTTTAGTCGTTTGCAGAACAGTGCTACGCAGTTGCATGGTATTTGTTCTGGTGTTTCTTTTTCATTGTGACAGAAACGACAGTTTTCACTATCTGATTTGCCCATCTTCTTGAGTTAATATCTCAGAGGGCAGTGACCAGTGAGAAGGCCAGTGACCATTTTGACATCTTTTTTACTCATTTCGAGAAGGCAGTTTGTTAAAGTAGGCGACACTTTTATGAGCCTTTTTACTTGCCTTTGTCCTGGTGTGTTAGACCAATATGATCTTAGTTGATTGAAGTTCCAGTTACGGATTTCCTCTCTTATGTGGCTTTTCGATAGTCCACAGAAGGGTTCTGAACCCTAGAAGGGGGTACTAGCTCCTTATTTTGCGAGGCTGTCAGCTTCCTCATCTCCTGCAATTCCCTTGTGACCTGGCACCCACATAACATAACCCACAGCACCTAACTGGAGTATACTTACCTTAATAAATAAAACCAAATTTGTGATAAAAATTTTATTAACACACCTTAATACAAACTTAACCTATCAAGTAACATGAATAGCCTATAAAATTTTCACTTTGGTGGTCATAGTAACTTATTTTCTTAAATATGATAGAAAGATACTGTGTGATGTCATCTGCCGAAATGTTAACAAGTATAGAATCTCTCTCTCTTCAATCCTGACCCCCCAGGGGGAGTGTAGTGGTCGACGTGATGTCGTGTATTGTCCGTCTCCAGAGATCTCTGTCTCTGGTCATTTCTTTTAATTCATGCATAGGTCTTTGGCATATTCCTGTAATTTGATCTATCCATCTTGTTGGGAATCTTCCTCGTGATCTTCGGCCTTCTACCTTTCCTTGTATTATGAGTCTTTCCATGTTTTCTGTGTTTGCTCTCATAACATGCCCAAAATATTTTAATTGTTGGAGATGGACTTTACTAGAGAGTCGTTGGCTAACTTTTAGCTCTCTTAAAATTGAATTATTTGTTCTACGGTCGGTCCAAGGAATTCATAACATTTGCCTCCAACAGAACATTTCAGTGGCGTCTATCTTTCTTCTCTCCGATTGTCTCCGAGTCCAAGATTCACATCCGTAGGTCAGTATTGGGAATATTAAGCAGTTGATCAACCTCATTTTTATTGCTTTTGAAATTTGACAGTCCTTCCATATTTTGGTCATTTTTGCTGTGGCAACTTTTGCTAGATCACATCTACGTTTAATCTCTTCTTGTAATGACCCTGTGTTTGTGATTAATGATCCCAGATATAAGTATGAGCTCACAACCTCGAACCGGTCAATTGTGGTTATGTGTGGGTGATTGTTGTGTAGTCTATCCACTATCATGATCTTTGTCTTTGATATGTTTAATTGTAGACCAAATATTTGACTTTCGTTTTCTATCAGTGGTATAAGTTCCATCAGCTCTGCTTGACTATTTGCAAGAAGGGCTGTGTCATCTGCGAAACGTAGGTTGTTTAGTTTATGACCATTTATTGAGATGCCCTTTTCCCATCCTTCAAGTGCTCTTCGCATAATATACTCCCCATATATGTTGAATAATTGTGGAGATAGTATACATCCTTGTCTGACACCCCGTTCCGGATAAAACTCGTTCGAAAATGTGTCAAGTACTTTAACTGATATGAAGTATAAATTACTTATTCTTTAATTTTAAAGATGTCATGTCGGATATAATTAGCCGGTGTCCAATGATAGACGATTTCTTCCGAATGCGGAACTAGTCTCATTGCTACAATTAATGAGAATATGTGTATTTTTATTTATTTTTAGTTCATTCGGTGTTTTACAGGTCACATATGAAGCTTAATAATTATATTGGTGTCTCAGATGGACACCAAAATAGAGAAAATAGAGCTTGAGTTTTCTCAAGCGCTTCTTTAAGCATTATGTTAAATTATTCTGGACAGAAGCATGTCTGTTACATTTTGGATTTTATTTTAGGAATAAATTACACGGGAATAGAAAACGCCATATGGACTGCAGGAAATAGACTTCAGGACGAAGTTCATTGGCGCTGGTTACGTCAAGAACCGGTTGTATACACTAATTGGCTTAATGGTGAACCAAACAATGCTACTGGTGATGAGAAGTGCCTAAGCGTAGTTTTTTATGGAAATACTGGTTGGAACGATATTGCTTGCAACCGCACATACCATCCTTTATGTGAGAAACAGATTTGTTGTTCTAGTTGCAAATCTTGTTCTTAATTTAATCGTTTTATTTAAATAATGTTTCAATATTGCAAATTAATTATTGGCATTTATGTAATAAATTTATAATTATTATTTGAATAAAAACAATAATAATAAATATATAATGTATTTTTTAATATAATTGAGAAAACTGTTAAATACCTCTGGCATATCTGTATGCCAGAGGTAAAGGGTACTATGTCAATTTTTGTCAATATTGGGATTATACTGCAGTTATAAATAACTTTTAATTATTCACATATGGGTATAAAGCACTATGTCCTACTTTATAAAATAACAAAAAAAAACATTATATAAGTATCATTTAATACTTTGTTTAGAGACAGAGGGCATCATGTGGACATAAAACCTCTGACCATTATACCTCTGTGTATATTGCTCACATTAGAGTATAATCTAGATACAGTGCCTTGAACCACATATTGTAGGCCAGTAATTAATTGTTTACATTTTAAAATTTTATTAAGTTATATGGAGTAAATAAGTGATTATATTAAGTAAATACAACTGATTATGTGGTACAAAAACATTCTTGTGGTGCCAAAATATTGAATTTAGCTTTAAAAGAACAAAATGGAAATAATACAAGTAAGACAATATCATTATATTTTAGAGGTACTGTTTCGAGCTTACCAAAAAAAAAACAATTTAATAGCCTAAGAACAAATGTTTGAGCAAACTTGTAAAAATGTGTATAATGTATGTACAGCGTTAACAGACCTTTTGGGCCCATTTCTAGATGGATAATTTCCATCGTTTTCTGTTCTTAGCTGCCAGCTTCCAATCTAGGATTTCCATCTCTCTGACATCTTCCATAACTACATCTCTCCATTTCTTTCTTGGTCTTCCTCTTTTTTTGCCCTCAGGGTCTCTACAAGCAATATTCTTGACTAGTGACCTTGCATTCTTTCTAGATGGCTGAGCCATTCTAGTCTACGTTTTTTCACCACTTTTGTTATTGTAGGGTTAGCATACAAATGGTCCACTTCTGCATTAGTTCGTGTTCTCCATTCTTCATCTACTACTTTTCACCATATATTCTCCGAAGTAACTTTCTTTCCCATGCTTCCAATGTATTCTGTATGGTTTTGTTCATAGTTCATGTCTCGGTAGCGTGTAGCAATGTGGGTCTAATTATAGTTTTGTATACCCTTATTTTTGTATTACGAGATATATCTTTGGCCTTAATTATTTTGCTCATGGCTCCAGCACACCTGTTGCTCTTGGTCAGTTTCAGTTTGATTTCAGTTTCTTCCTTACATGTCTGATCAATAAGAGTACCTAAGTACATATATTCATACACCTTTTCGAATTCTACAACTGATTTATCCTCTACCTCCAATTTATAAGATCCATTGGTGTTTATTTTTTTGTTATCGAGATCTCCATGTACTTCCATATATTAATATTAACTTTCAGTCCCATTTTGATGATGATTGCCAAACTCCGTAGCGGAGAGGGCACTTGAAAAAGAATAAGTTGCCTGAAAGCAATACTACTCAATGCAATATTAAACAAAATGATATCAAAAAGATCCTGGTGTACGGGGAATGGTTTTAAAATAAAGTTCTGCAGCGAAAGTGGTAAATCTGATTTATTAGCAAGTTTTGATATGAACAATTTCTTTACAAAACCGTTTATTTAATATAATTTTAAAAATAATTTAAAATTTAAAAATTATAATTTAAAAGAGAAGCATCTATATATAATAATTTTAATATTACCATAAATAAATCTCTGTATTACAGATAATTCACAAAACATTCGTCTGTGGTTTACTTGATTAACGTCTACGTTGCCATTTAAATCACTTCGTCTTTGTCTCGTATGTGGGAATAAATGTTATTTTAAAATATATTAAAAAAAATCTACTCTCCCCTAACAAAACCAAATCCGTTATAGGTAATACGCAAAACCTTATTTCTTTTAACATTAACCAGAGCAAAACCTCCAAAGACAGACAAACGTAAGTGGGGTAATTGAATTTAGTATTCGTATTTTGAAAGTATCTCGAAAGGCGATCTAAAGCAAAGCGATCGAACGTTTGAAAGGCGCTAGCAAAAAGTATGCACTCAGTATTAGTAGCAAAAGAAAGATGGCGATGTCGTAGTATTATTTGGAAGAACGGAGATACCATCGCTAGGAAAATTGAATCCAAAGAGATAGTCCGAAACAAACACAGAAAAGACAAAAACCAGTCCAGCTTTATACTTAAATTAAAACGTAGTCACATACACACAAACAAGTGTTTTCTGTGTTTCATATAATTTTTGTGTACTAGAAATTAATTTTTGTAGCTCATTTTTTTATTTACAGTTACTAATATTTAGTTTAGTAACAACTTCTATAATTTGGGTTGCGATGTAAATTACACATAATAATTTATGCTGCTATATCATAATTTCAAAATTATATTGTTGAGAAAAATAAAACAAGATCAGAATTTTGAATTAAAATTTTTTCTTTCTTTCTTTTTCCTCTTCCTTTTACCCTATCAGGGTGTCGGATTTGGGCTAGCTATTTTAATTTTTATTTACCCACCTCTTCCATTCTTTTCTGTGTCCTGCCCATATTTTCAATTCCTCGAGTGATTTTTGTTTAAGTTTTCCCGCCTCTACTACTTGCTGTATCCATTTTTTTCTTGGTCTGCCTCTTTTCTTTTTTTTTTTCGATGTTCTTTGCTTCATAAACTTTTCTTGTTATTCTATTGGATTTCATCCTCATCAGATGCCCAAACCAGTTCATTTGTCTGTTTGCTATTTTGTTCATTATCGGTTCCTGGTTGGCCATTCTCCTAATAGTCTCGTTGCTTAATCTATCCCATTTTGGCTTTTCAACTATCCTTCTTAGATGTCTCATCTCCATTGCGTTTATTAACCCATATTAGTTTCTGCATTTTATTCTCGGAATCTGCTATTAGTACTATGTCGTCTGCATACATTTAGGACTCTATTGTTACCGGTTGTAATCTGTGGTAACCTATTATTGTCTGTAGTTAATTGGTTCTGACTCTAGTGTTTCTTATCAATTCGTTCATTACTATTATGAATAGCAGAGGGCTGAGACTATATCCTTGTTTAATACCTCTCTTCCAATTAAATGCTTCCGATCTTTCCCGTGTTATTTTTAACCTTTCTTTTACCCTTTTGTAAGTACTTTCTGTAATTTTTATCAATGCATTAGGTACATTTATTTTTCTCAAGCATTTCCCTATAATATGTCTTTCTATCGTGTCAAATGCTGCTCTTAGGTCTATGAATGCTAATACTAGTTTTTCCCCCGTATTGATGCTTCTTACTATTAGGTTCCTAATGACATATATGTTGTCATTTGTCTGTCTTCCCGGTCTAAATGCCGTTTGTTCTTCTCTCAATACAATTTCTACTTCTTGTCTCAGTCTCTTCTCTATTATTTTCGTATATATTTTAAAGCATACCGATGACAGACATATTGCTCTTTAGTTGTCGCAGTTTACATGTTCACTTTTTTTGTATATTGGCACGATGATATTATTCTGCCAATCTTTAGGGATTGTTTGTTTTTTCCACACCTCTTTATATACTTTTCAAAGCCAGTTTATTCCTTCTTCTCCCATGTATTTTACCATTTCTGGTTCAATTTCATCATCTCCAGCTGCCTTGCATATTTTTATCTTTGATGTTTGATACTTGTATATATTTTTTTTAATGTTTTATTATTTCTAAAGATATGGTGTAAAGGTTATGTGTACTTATTTAATTTACTAAGAGTGCTTTGTTGCTGTTTGATATAATATTAAATTGCTCTCAATATTTTGTACTACCTCTTTGTCATATCTGTTTCTTTATAAGGGCTATTTTGTTTCTTTTAGACTTATATTCTGAGTCAAAGTTTCAGATTAAAATCAGAGGGAAAGTCACCAAAAGTACTATTCCATTGTCTCTCCAAAACTAAATTTTTAAATAACGACGTATTCTGTGGGACTAGAAACTTCTTTGGCATGGCTCTGAATAATATTCGTTCTATAAGATATAAAACAGATAAATTATTTTTGTTCCTAGAGGAATTAAGATTTCCCTCGATAGTTGCGGTTACCGAGCACTGGTTCCTTTTTTGTTGAAGAAAAATTAACCACAATTGCTAGATATGATCGTCCAAGTTCAGCTCATGGTCAACTTAATTCTTTCTAAAAATTATGATTTCCTTTCTATAAAAAACAAATTGGTTTATAACAAGAATCTTAATATATACATAATTTTCATTTATAGATAACTTGATTCTTCAACGGAACTATTTTTCCAGAACCTTCTAACTGTGTTAAATGATGTGCCCAATAAAAGCAGAAACATTTTATGCAGTAACTTGAATATTAATAACGCTGTTGCTTGTGCCACCCAATTAAACCTGGTTAGTATATTCAAATCGTATGGTTTTACAATGCACGTTAATTCTACTACAAGAATTACTAAAACAACATATTCTTCTTCTTCTTAACATGCCATACACCAAAGTGCGTAGGCGACTATCTCATTACTAGAATTCTATTCTTGGCGGCGTGACACAGCTCGCCTGTATTGTGTATTCCTGTCCATTCTTTAATATTCCTTAACCAGGATAATTGTTTGCGGCCGGCTCCTCTCCTACCTTCGATTTTCCCTTGTAGGATTAACTGTGGTATTTCATATTTTGCTCCTCTTAATATGTGCTCAAGGTAACCAATCTTGCGTTTTTTAATTAATTCAAAGAGTTCTCTTTCCACGCCGGCTCTCTTAAGGACATCATCGTTTCGAACTCTATCCACCCAAGGTATGCGCATCATTCTTCTTAATGACCTTATTTCAAATGCTTCAAGTTTGTTGATAGATGTTTTTTTCAAAGTCCACGTTTCCATGCCATAAAGCAAGATGGACCATATGTAGCACTTGACCATTCTGTAGCGTATTTCGAAATTTAGTTTTTGATTACATAGGAGCGGTCTGAATTTCACAAAAGCTTGTCTTAACATTTGTATTCGG